CCCCCCCGGCCCCCCAGTGATGACATTGAGCCAGACGATTACTTGCATCAGGGCAGATGGCTCTTGGGATGAGTACTGCGGCAGTGTGCTATGATGTTTTCATGAAGCTATGTACAGCACAATGCCAGACCCTCCCACCAGCCATGATCTTCCTTTATTGCACAGAGAAGAAGAGAAGAACGGGGATCAATCAAGTGATGATATCACTGGCTCTATCCTAAGTAATGTAATGAAAACAGAAGGATTTTATTTTAAAACTTCATTAGTATAACGGGATGGGGGGCGAGGGGAGGCAAAATTTAGGCAGATTAAGCTCCAGTTTTAAATAGTTTTGTTGACATTCACAAAATAAAATAAGCATATAACAGAACAATTATATAAATAAATATGAGTACATGTTTGTTAGTGCAGTAACGCCATAGGTGAACACAGCAGATGAGATGTAATAACACCATGGCGATTACTACACTCAAGCTGAAGGGTCAGGTTAAGACAAAGTAAGTAAAGGTATGTACATAGGAAGATATGCATCATTCTTAAAGAAGACTACACTATTATTATAATTGAAGACTGAATGTTCACAAGCCTTCATAAGTTCAGCCATGACTGATTCTCTTTAAAGCTGAATTCTAGGCAGAATTAAAGACACAAATAAATGCAGCTCTGTAATTATTATGACATAAATAAATGTATTTTGAAAATGTAAGCAGTGTAAGTATCTGAATGCGGCCTCTTAGGGGTGGGGAAGCATGCTTGTTGCCCTTCTTTCCTGGCCACCCAGGCTGCATGCATTCTCGGATAAAGCTTTGGTTAGAATGTTAAAAAGAGCTCTAAATATAATATAGCTTCCCTAAAACATCTCAACACCCTGCTTAAGAGTAAATATTATTTCCAGAAAATCATGGCGATCTTTTCACAGGGACACATTTAACAAAAAATCAAGTTAAAACAGCATAGGGACGTAGGAAAGCCACCATAAGAGTGCTGCCTCGCTACCATGGATGCACATAGTCACTATTTCATCTTGCCTTCTGTCATGACTCCGTTGTATTCAGATCTGTTTGTCATGTTTTAAAGTGAAACTAAATTCAGCAGTTACATCTTAAAAATGCATTCAAGTACCTTACCTATTAATAAAAATGTATTCTATGTGTGTATCACTCAGCTGTAGATCCCCAACTCATCTCTTGATTGGTGCTGACACTGTCCTTCCTTCTGGAAGGTGGCTACTTTTGTTCCCCTTGATCCTTGTGCCTGTTGCTACCACTCCAAGCTCGCTCCTGTGATGGACTACAATCTCACATTTAGTTTACTAATTTGTATTGAGTTTGTCACATGTGCTGTAATCTGCACTACCTTGCTAACTCCATAGCTGTTCTGCATTGTGTTTCAGAAAACATTCATGATTAAGAAAAACAGAGTATATAGGATTTTTTTGCAAACCAAGTGTGCTTAGAAAACTAATGTATTTATTTTGCTACGTAAAACACATTTTAAAATACTTATTTTAGTTAGTTATAAATAAAACATATCGCATGATCAGAAATAGGTGCATGTTTTCTTCTAAAAAACAGTTTTTCCAAGTTCTGGTAGCGTGTATACTAAGTCTGGGTATTATACAGCAGGAGTTTGGCCTCTAAATGATGAACTGGAAGGGTACAATGGAAGAGGGCACTTCCCTTCATTGCTACAAATCCATGTGCTTCCTCTAACATGTTAGCCCATATGTCCTCTGTTAGAAGAAATGCCCACCATATTGACAACTAACGGACTAGATATAGAACAAAGATTTATAAATGTAGATTGAAAGTGTAATTTGTTTTGGCTTAATATGGTCTTTGTGAAGAAAGTAGTGATTAAATTATGTATTTTTCTCAAAGCAGGTGTCTCTGTTATGGCTATTTGCAGCAGAAACCCAGGGGAACAGGAAAGACAGACTGGAGAAATTCAGTGATCAGAGTTCGAGACAAAAAAAATAGGCTGCATCAGTGTAGCCAGGTCTTAAAGTGTACCCCCCAAATAACCCAGCACAGCATGTACAACATACTTGCACATTATAGCAAACTTACTTCTGCATTTGTCCTCCTCCAGTGCTGACAGTTCTGTGATATCCATCACCGCTTCATCTTCTCCTCTGCTTCTTCTGGGTCCAGCCATTCTTCTCTTTGACCATTGGGTGGCTACTGGTCATGTATATCCTGCGCATGTACATTGGAGAGAGAGTTTCTTGGCAGAGGAGACTTAGGGGTCTACTCACAAAGCTGCCGTAGGCAGCCGTGTGAATAACCGGCCCGAAGTGAAGTGAGCTGAACGCTGTTCACTTCGGGCTAAAATCAGCCGTACATTGGCTTGCTGTGGCTGGCTTCGGCTAAACATGCTCAGCATGTTCGGCTGACCCGAAGTGCAGAAGGAGTTAAACTCAGCCGATCCAACATCTGGATCAGCTGAGCCGAACCTCCGGCAGGCTGCTTGCTGCTGTTCGGCCTATTCCCATAGATGCCCAACAGCAGTGAGCTATTCTGCTCGGTACCTCTGTGGTACCGAGCAGAATAGAAAAACAGTTAAAGTAGAAAAAATAAAATAGAAAATGATTGGGCTGAGCTAGCAGTGACAGCTAGCTCTGCCCAACTGTTTTCTATTGGCCGGGCGGTTCTGCTGCCGTCAGAATACATTTAAAAAAAAACACCATAGGAATGCATACCTAGATTCCTATTAGCTATTTCACTTTGCAATAGCCAATAGCAACCTAGCTATTGTACCCGCCCTGCTGTCAATCACTAGAAGGGGACCTGATGGAGAACTGCAGGTCCCCTCTGCTGATTGACAGCAGCAGTGGGCGGGTGCAATAGCTAGTTTGCTATTGCAAATTGAAATGGCCAATAGGAATGTAGCTAAGCATTTCTATGCTTTTTTTTTTCAACGGCTCCGATGTCAGAAGAAAAAAAAAACAGAGCACGGAAAGGTTTACTAGAGTAGAACTTTCCAGGAGAGAGTGTTTCTCTCCCTTGCAGCCAGAAGCCGCTATCTAATAGTGGGAGACTCCCGGAGTGTCCGGGAGATCAGCGCCCCTGGTTACCTGGTAACCTGTCTGTTCGGCCAGCTCCGGCTTTTACCTCGGCTCAGTGGAGCCGAAGCATATGCCTTCGGCTCGACTGAGCCCCTCGGCCAACTTCGGGAGCATTAGGGGCTATAGTGAATAGCCCGTACAGCAGCCCTTCG